TTAAAAAWATATATATATATATTTTAATATAACAATATGCGAGGGTGAGAATTGGAACTCACGACCTTTTTTATCGGAGATACATATCTTAATTAGTTGAATTAAGTTCATATCGTTAATTGAAGGTGTCATATTAAGATACGATTAATAGCTTATTATATGAATAAGGCTAGAACTTGTACGAAAAGAAAGAAAAGACATGAGAAATCTTTAGAAGATTAAATGACGTCTTGCTTAATTAGAACATTTTAACCTCGATGATTAATTTGCTTATTTAATTTTTTTTTGAAAGGTGCTTATTTAATTGCAAGCTCTATATATAAAACTAACAATTTTGTAAGTTTGTCGCAACTTGAAGAAAATAGCTATAGCCAGCGTAATTACCTTTTTCCTTTTAAGTTAATTCTCCGATTATCATAGTTGACTCATTAATTAAAAAGGTTTAGAGTAAATTCTATAGAACTTGGAGGGAATTAGTTCAAATCATGATAGTCGTCCACCTAAGATTTAATATCCTATAAATTTCGAGTAAGTTAAAGTCTAATCTCTAAATTCATCTCGTTCCTTTTACCATATGCATGACTCTCGATAGATAAGACACATATTACAATTTCGAAAAGCTCTACCGTTAAATATTCGTCCCTACTCCAATGATCGAACCAAAAAACAAACCAACCTACAATTTTTGTCAATTTAAAGTTCAAATCAAACTCCACAAAGCCAAAGTAGTGATCAATTATATAGTCGACGATGAACAATGGAAAAGGTTGCCATGTTTTGAACTTAAAATGAACAAAAATTGTAGGCCAAAAATCTCTCTCTAACGTGAGCCTAGGAATCTTCATGATAAGGCAGCTGTTACACCATGTGATCTTGACTCAGCAAACAGTAGCTTTTAGAAGAAGAAGAAGAAAAAGGGAAAGAAAGAGAGGTTTCTGAAGTTTCTCAGCAGAAAATAAAACACAGAGAACATCTCCAACAAATGCCTAGATGCCTTCCACACCGCCCTATTCCCATTCTCCTCATACCAAAATCAAATCCAAAACCACAGAAACATCACAGAAGAATCAATATATTATGGGCCTTTTTTTAAATTTGCTTCGTTTTCTTCAACCAAGAACAGATGCCTAGCTAATTATATATAATATGGGACAACTTTTTTCCCTTCTTCTCTTTTGCTTATTATATACATATAAATGGGAAATACTTTGGAGCTGTGTTTCCTTCTTTTGGTTTAGTTTATTCAGAGAAGGAGATCAGATCCCTTCCCAAATGGATTTAGAGAGGAAAAGAAAGAATTATTGCTTTAAAAGTAGGGTTTTTAACATGAAGCTTGTTTCTAAAAGAAAGGGTTTTGAAGTGGTAAAAATAACCTTTTTTTTTTCCCTCAATATGGGGTTTTGGAGTTGCTTTTGCTCAATCCTTACACAGAAGATCAGTTTGTAACAAAATAATATAATACATCAACTTTGTTTGAAGAAGAAAATGATCCAAAGTCTCTTAGCAAAGCTTGGACTCTTGATATCGATGAACGGAGGGACGTACAAAAATAGAGTTAGCATTCTAAATGCTCTAGTCAGTACTTGTCTGATCTATACTCGAGAGATAATATAGTTCCGTGTACCTCGTGTGAGAGGCGGAGATAACTATTTATAGAGAGGTGAACTCTCGACAGGGTTTTCAACAGCGGTCCAATGGCTCTTCGACTGTCTGAAAATCGCAGCGTCTTGTGAGAGATTGTGTATGGTGCTTTGTGCCTGCAAGTGCTCTTCAAGGTCGGTTCGTTCTTTGAGAAGGTTGGCCGAGGGGTGAAATATGGCTTGGCTCGGCTTGACTTGCCAAGCTACTTGGAATCATCCGAATGATAAAGATTCATCCGGTTCTTCCCTTATGGTGAGTAATGACCTCTGATGTCGACACGTGACAGGCGATAATTTACCCTTCGACAAACTTCTTCATTGATAACATGTTTAGAACTATTCTCACAAAGCCAGCAGGAAGCATAGCTCATCGGTCCCTCCCCTGAAGTACAAGTTTAGTCCATGAAATTTAAAAATTGTCTAATAGGTTATAAATTTCAAAAATTTGTTTAATAGGTAAATCAACTTTAATTTAGTGACCTATTATATACAAAATTAAAAGTTTAGAACTCTATCAGATACAAAATTTAATTTGATGTCTAATAGATTTATTATTTTAAAAAAATATCGAACAAGTTAGGACCTATTTAACACAAATCTAAAAGAATTCGACTAAATCTATAATTTAACTAAAAAATTACTTGTATGTAATAAATTATCAATGCACAAAAGAATAGATGCATGTGGTGAAGTATATGTAAGTTTAAATATTGATGATTAAAGTGGATTCCTACTGCAAAAATATTTTGTGATGCCATACATTTGCCTATCTGTGTAGTCGTCAGGAAGAAAATAAAGTGAAAAATAACTAATTTGGACACTTTTTATCTAATGGTTTTCTTAATCATTATTTTGTTCTCAAAGTTAGTTTTAATTAAGAAAAGCCACAAAGCTGTAATCTGTGGCTGGAAAAGATTTGATTTAAATATTATTTTTTTCTCTACTTTTGATTTTGATTTGTTTTAATTCATGTATTTTTAAAATTCTCATTTTAGTCCAATTGCTTTATAAAAAGTAATTATTTTGGTTATCGGTTTTATCAAAATTCTTTTAATTACAATTTTAGCGATATTTCACATCTTGAAATGTAACTATAAAAATTGTACTATTTAACGGTTTCTATTTTGTATAAAATTTAAATTAAAAATTTATAAATCGAAACAAAATAGACCATCTTTAAAAGTAGGAACCGATGCTTTAAAATTATAAAGAAACTAAAATAAAAAAAAAGTTGAATAAGAATCTAAAATAAACGTTTTGAAATTAGATAGACCAAAATAAAAATAATATTTAAATAATTCTTCGAGAAATCCAACTTGGTGCAAGGATGAATAATTTCAATTATTATTTCGGTGATGTCATAAAATTGGGTTTTGATGGCTAAAAGAAAGCCACTTGGACTTTTTTTTTCTTTTTTTTTATGGGGTTTATTGGCCCCATAAGCAGTTTTTGGCAGGTTTTGGTTATGCTGAAAACAAATCAAGGGAAGAAAAAAAATATATAAAACAAATAACTTTATTAAATTTTTATCTTTTAGAAAAGTACTTTTAAAATCAATCCTCCAAATATTCCATGGAGTAGAAAAAAACAGAAATACTTCTTAATTTATTGGCCCCATGGAAAGAATTTAACCTCTTAATTTATTCAAAACCACTTTTGAAAAAAGCCCAAACATTATCAAGTAGATGGAAGGGAGAGAGTTTGAAGCTATATTATTTGACCAAGGATTTCAAATATTGATGTTGGTATAGATATCAACATTTTAATTTGACAAATATATGGATAAAATTTCGATACCTTGTAAATCAAAAAATTTACAAAAATTATTTCTATTAATATAATGAAAGATAACATATAAAGTTATATTAATTGTTGGCTAATTATGGTGTTTTCATTTTTATGGACATTTACGAGACATCGATAGTGATTGATCGATATCAAATCCTCTTATTTACGGTYAGATACGTCATGTCGATGAATATTTTGATCCTTGGGTCGAGAACAAACCTAAACCAACATACACATGGAAGTTGAAAAACATTGGAAAACAAACAGCTGTATTACTGAAACTTAAATTTTTTTTTTTTTTTGTGTTAATTCATCAGCTTTTTTTGGTTGTCTGCCAGATCTAAGCAAACCCATTAGTTTTTTTAATCAAAGTTTCAGTCTTTTTTTTTTCTTTCCTTTTTCTTGGGAATTTGAGAGAGAGAAAAAAAGCAAAGTTGTTTGAATGTGGCAGATGGGGATTTATAAAGAGAGAGAGGGGAAAAAGTTGGTTTTGGGAAACTTCAAAAACTAATTTCTGGAAGTTGTGCTTGAAAGTGACAGAGAAGCTTCTCCACATGGCATGCAGTTTTTTTGATTGATAAGTTTGCATGAAAAAACAAAATTCTACTAAAAATAATAGAAATTTGAATAATAATTCCTTTTAGAGTTCATCCTCGGTGTAAAATAAATAAATAATATATTGTACATTGTTCTTTAAAGTTAGATAACTATTTTATCTTATGCAACAATATCATATGAAAAATATAATTTTAGAAGATATATTGTTTTCTTTTATTATTTAGACAAGATATGCAAAATTGCCTTGATTCATTTAAAAAAATTTCAATTGGGTCCTTAATCTTCTTAATCTTACTCATAATGTTTTAAAAGTTTCAATTACACCCGTACATTTAAAATTTGTTGCAAAAAGTTTTTAATGAAGTGTATTAACATGCTCAACATTGACATACATTTTTCAAATATTGGTTGAGATGAGTATGGGAGAGCCAAGAGCAAAATAATAGAAAAAAGTTATAATTATAATATATATATATATGTATATATTTTGTTTGAAAGTTCAGAGGTTATAAAAGAAATTTGAAAATTTCAAGTGCCAAAATGAAACAAATTAGAAAATTCAAAAACTATAATAGAATGTATTTATTTTAGGTTAGAAAACCTAAACCTCGGTCATCTATTTTTTTTATTACATTAAATATTTGATAATCAAAGAAACTAAAATACAATTTATCATAAAAAAATGATAAATTATCAAATTTTTTAATGGCAGCTAAGGCGACGGAAACCAATTAATTTAAAAAACTTGAATAGCACACTTTTGAAATAGGCGGGAACAAAAACGGCTGGATGTGACGTGAGTTGGTAAGAATACATTTCTTCAAAAATTGGTCAAAAAACGAGAGGATTTTTCATTGGGGGAAAACTTTCAAAGAAAGGGTATCGTTTGATCAATGATGTAGCCATTGAAAGCAACATTTTAGAGAAAAAGCAGATCAATCAAGAAGAAGCCCTTCCTTTTTCTCTCTGCTGTGTCTGTTCTGTTCGTCGAAACTAGAAACGAAGAAGAAGGAGAAGAAGAAGAAAATGGGTGATGGGTAAATCAAAAAGGAAAAAAAGAAAAAATTTTGCTGCTCAATCCCAAATGGGTGCTTGCGATTTTGGAAGAAGAATATCCCGAGAGCATGTCAACGAGTTGTGTGTTCTCACGGAGCAAAGTTTTTCCCCAGTATAAAAGCAAGCTGTTTAAGAGAGAACAAAAAATTGAAAAATTCTTTGGAATCGGAAAAAACTCTCTCCTCTAAAAGATGGCTTTTATGCCCCATTTTGAAGAGATGATTCCGAGTCCTTCTCCCACCGTTGCTTTTTTTGATCTCCGCCTCAGCAGATTCCCTCCATTTTTTATTTTTTATTTTTCTCTTCATTGCTTTCCCAAGCCAAGAATCTCTCTATCACTTCCCTTTCTCTCTTACAGATTCTCTCTTCTCTCTACTGCTTCTTTTAACGATGCCTTATGCAATGTTCTTCAATCCCTTTATTTCCAAGCCGTTATTTCTCCTTCTTCTCTCTCTGGGTCTGGGCCCTTTTCGATTTGAGGCCCCTTTTTCGTCCGGACGATATTCCGGCGATTGCTCTTACAAATTTCCCTTTTATTGGTTTCCATGGCTCCTTCAGGTGTCAATCATCTTTCTCACCCTTGCATTTCTGGTATCTATTGCAAATTACCTTCTTCGTCCGCTACCCATTTCTTTGATTTTGATTTTGATTTTCGAGGGTTTTGTGGAACCGCAGCATTTGAGGGGTTTTTCTTTGTGTTTCTGTTGAATCGGGATTTGTGTTTGACGAGCAGGGGATTTTGCTTCCTCCCACGCAGAGAAAAAATCTGGGTGGATGAAATGGTTGAGCAGGATTTTCCGGCCCGGAGCCAACCGCGGGGGAGGCGGCAGCCGCCATCCGCAGCAGCTTGTTGGTGATCAGGAAAACATGTTCCGGAGAGCGCCGGCGAGATCATCGGTAAACTTCTGCTTTCATCTTCTTTTATAGCTTATCATCATCATATTCTGCTCTTGTTATAAGGTTTGACTTGTAGAGTTCTGAAAACATATTACCAGACAAAATCATACGATGTAACAGCTGGTGTTAGTTGACTTTTTTATTTTCTTTTTACTTTTTCAGTGATTTGGGATGATAGTTCATTTGCTCTTTAGCTTACTGGAAGTACTGAAAACCCTTTCTCTTTTGAAAAGAATTAAAGTTCCTAAAAGTTGATAACAATGTTTTATTTGGTCTGTACTGCCTTGAATAGAAACCAAGTTGATTATTAATCAACCAGTGGTATGTTTATTCATTTTCTAATAGATTTCCTGCTTGAACAATCTTGAACCATGATTTTTCCTTCTGGGGTTGTATTGCAAGTAGCCAAGGGGGCAGTTTTAAGCTCATCACAGTGTAAAACAGGGCAAATAAAGGGAATTTACTACATGTTAACTGCTTGGTCGAATAAATACGGTTCACTATTGAGATGTTATTTGTACAGGAGGATCCTTCTCGAGCTCAGAAGGAGAAAGAAGAACTAGACCATGCCATTGCACTCTCCTTGGCTGAAGATTTGAAACGACGAAATCGTATGATCCCCTAAACTGGACTTGGATTTTAAACATTTTGCTCTATTTATCGTCTCTGGAAAAGGAACCATTAAGCTTGATTCGTTCTCCTGTTTGTTCTTCAGGGTATCGACGGCGTACAGACAATGACGAAGCAATTGCTAGAGAACTGCAGGATAAGATGAACCTATCTCCTTATCCTTCTGTGGCCCCTCCGCAGTACCATCCTGGTGACTATAGGTATAATGTTGTCTTATTCATCTATATCATATCAGCAAATGAATGTTATTCAATTGTCGTGCCGATCTACTAACTTGTAAACGAGTTTACCTTAGACAATAAATTCCTGTTTCAAACATACTATTTTGGGATTAGTTGTTATCATGGTTGTGTCCCTATGGTTTAACTGATATATCCAATTATGCATATTCATGCCTTCAAGTTGCAGATATTGTGGTGGCTGCAATCGTGCAATTGGCTATGGCAATTATTTGGGATGCATGGGCACCTACTTCCATCCGAGTTGCTTCCGTTGTCGTTCTTGCGGTTATCCTATTACYGAGCACGAGGTATTAAAATATTCTATCCTTCTTATGATCAATAGGCCCTGGGTATAATCTTCTTCTCCTAATAATGCTTCCTACTCTGTTTCCTTATCCTTCTCATTGAAATTCAAGGCTATACAGAGTAATTTACCATTTAATAACAATGGGATTGCCAAGCATCTCTATTATGTCGTTTTTCACCAGTTCCTCTTTCTGTCGATTCAAGTTTTCATTGTCTGGGAAAGATCCATATCACAAGTCCTGTTTCAAAGAGCTGACCCATCCAAAGTGTGAAGTCTGCCACCAATTTGTAAGAATTTCATTATTGTCTTTATGGCACATTAATTTCTATATTCTGTTGCTTGTAAATTGTGAGGAACATCAATGAATTTGTCAGACCGCATCAGTATCTTGCATTAGCTAGTATGACATAACTTCGATGCAACATTTTGCTTTATCAAATAGATCATCCTGATTCTTTAGTTCCCAACTTTCAGATCCCTACGAATCGAGCCGGTCTGATCGAGTACAGATGTCATCCCTTTTGGTCCCAAAAGTATTGTCCATCACATGAACATGACAACACAGCACGTTGTTGTAGCTGCGAACGCTTGGAGGTATCGATTAAAACGATTGAGATCAGTTCCCAAGTCATAAATTATTCATCTGCATACCAAGCTCGGATGAGGTTGAGGTTTCTCCCTCTAGTTCTAACTACAATTCCACATGATTTTACAGTCTTGGAATGCAAGATACATTTCTTTGGGAGATGGGCGGAGTTTGTGCCTAGAATGCATGGAATCTGCTATCATGGACACCGGGGACTGCCAACCGCTCTACCATTCCATCCGAGACTATTATGAAGGGATGAACATGAGGATAGATCAACAAATTCCCATGCTTCTAGTTGAAAGACAGGCGCTAAATGAAGCTATTGTTGGGGAGAAGCATGTAATATACCATCTTTTACTCTCTTTTTTCCTTCCATAACTATAAAGCAGTTCATCTGATCAGTACTGATTTTTTGCAGGGCTTCCATCACATGCCTGAGACTAGAGGTTTATGCCTTTCTGAAGAGCAGACTGTCACCAGTGTACGTTTTCGTAGAATTGCAATAGTAGTTGTCTTTTCATTCAATAATTTTAGAAAAGCGACCGGGTCTACAGATTCCGACCTTGTTCTTTTCTATCATATTCAGATTCTCAAGAGGCCAAGGATCGGAGGGCATCGACTGGTAGGAATGAGAACTCAACCGCAGAAGCTGATTCGTAGATGTGAAGTTACAGCCATCCTTGTTCTCTATGGTCTCCCAAGGTACCCATTCTTGATCTTTATACTCTAAGACATTTATCCATGTACCTAAAGCTAGAATGATTACTTACATCTTAAATGGGGCAAATGGAACTCATGAAAAATGAAATAGACATATACTGGAAGTGGTTAGAATCATTTTAAACTAAAAGGTGTGAGCTTTCCAAGAAGATCAGCTGTCTGATCATTTTTGTTCACTTTCGGACACGACACGATAGAAATGTTAGGACGGCGAAGTGAGCCTTCTTTTTTCGAGTTACGGTCATCCACCATTTTTATACCCTTAGCTTTTACAGATTACTAACAGGTGCTATTCTTGCCCACGAGTTGATGCACGGCTGGTTACGGCTAAAAGGTAAAGCTCCATCTTCTTCTTCCTTCTCCATTTCCATGAATCTTGATCCATATGGCTTACCTTGAGTACTGATCATATAACTGGAAATCATGCTAGGATATCGCAACCTTAACCCAGAGGTCGAAGAAGGTATCTGTCAAGTGCTTTCCTACATGTGGCTTGAAGCAGAAGTAATGCCGGGATTTCGATCGGGGCCTTCGACATCAGGCGCATCCTCATCTTCTTCCTCTTCCTCGTCGTACCACTCCTCTACCTCGTCAAAGAAAGGCGGTAGATCTTCTGCTGAGAACAAACTGGGCGAGTTTTTCATGCACCAAATAGCGAATGACGCCTCGGCAGCGTACGGGGAAGGATTCAGAGCTGCAAATTCTGCAGTGAATAAGTATGGCTTGCGTCGAACTCTCGACCATATTCGCATGACAGGAAGTTTCCCTGTGTAATATAGAGAGACTTGAAACTCCCTCTTCTACGTCTGGTTTAGAGTCTAGACAGTGCTCTACGAGGATCTGGTTCACAAGCAGTCTCTTCTCTAATAACATGTATTTCTTCTTCCAACTTTGTGTTGAAAGTGTCAACTCTTTGGCTTCCTTCTTTTTTCTTTTCCTTTCCCCATTCTTTGCTGAATGGTAGCTGTTCTTGTCCACAGTTTCACATCTTTGTTAGGCTAAATTACCTTAAAAAAAAAAGAAAGAAAAAACTTGTGAACTTTGTCCTTCCAAAGCTCCCTCCTGCCCACTGGTCGAAGTCAAAAAGAGGTGGATCCACTTCATTTCCTTGGTTTAAAAATACTCCTGTCCTTTTCTACTTTCACTGTTTACTAAAGGTTTCAAGAATATCGTTAATATTGTGAACGAAAAGTTGATATGATAGAATTAAAAACGATGTGACAATTAATATGGAAGTTTGTTTGGATTAGATCTAAAAAATGAAAAATGTGAAAGAAGTTATCATTTTTAAAATGGAGTTAGGGCAAAATTTGGTACATAATAGAAAAACAAACTCTCTTTTAACAATGGAGGAAGAAAATTTTTAGGACAAAATTAAAATGTTAATTGTCACGTTGTTTTGGATTTTACTAGTTCAAATTTGTATTTAAAATATTAACGAGTGTTTGCCAAAAGGATATTTTGGAATGTTTATGAAAGATCCTAGTATTTGAACTTTTGATAGGCCAAGACCATTTTTTTCAAAGAAATGGCAAAGTTCTTGAGTATTTTGTTATAATTTAGCCCAAATAAAACAAATAAGAAGCAAGAGGATAACAAAAATAGAATAGGGAACAATGGAATAAAAGTTAGGGAGATGTAAAAAAACGCCAAAAGTAACCAAACGAGTATTAATATTTTAAGAATATTCAAATATTAAAATTTAGGAAAGAATATCATTTAGGTCTTAAATTTTAAAATCTCTTTTTTTTTTTTTTTAATAATTTATGTTTATTTCCGAAGGTTCAAATTCTTACCCTTGTCCATGAGTTTCAATAATGCTCCATTTTGGTCCTTAAGATAACAAAGGACTTCATACAATGAGGAAAATTTCATATCCTACGGTAGTGTACCTCCTCCATTAAAATCATGCCACGTATATTGTGTTATTTGTGGATTTATTATGAAAATAAAATACATATATTATATGTGGACCTGAAAATTAAAATATCCATCATATTTTTAACTCTCCCCCCCTAAATTACATTCTCAAGTCTCAACTCTGATTATTTATTTATTTTTCTTCATTTTCTCATTTTTTAAATTGTTATTTATTTATTTTTCCACATTCTCACTTTCTTCTCTACTCCATTTCATTTGCAGATTTTATTTTTTCCTCTATCTTCTTCTTTATTTTCATTTGCACATTTCTAAAATGGGAAATAATGTTCTTTTATTTTATTTTGATAATTATTTTTTTCATCTAATCAATATTATAATTAGATTTTATTTGTCAACCATTTTGATATGTTTTTATTTGTAACTTGTTTTTGTCTCTTTAATCTATATTATAATTAGATCTTGTCATTAAACTTCCATAAACTTTCAAACAATTTATTTTACTTTTAGAATTATGTATATAATATCAATTTATAATCATTAATATTGTTTCAAATATCATTTCATTCCCTGTAATTTGAAATTTATTTTATTGTAGTTTCTATACTTTTAAATATCTAAATTTAACCTTATACTTTTAATAATAGTCCTTTTGTTTGAAGTATTCAGACTAAAATTGTTTCTTYATTGAAGATATATGTCAATTACTGTTAAACTACACRACATAAACACATATTTTGTACTAAAAAAAATATATAAACAAATTCAACTCATTAGATATTTACTATAAATAAGCATTTAAAAAGTCACGTGTAGCAAACAGATGCCAAACTTCGAATTCTCTCATAAAATGATTGATGGAAAATTACTGACAAAGACTAAATTAATTCTTGACTTCTAAAACAGAATTTTCAAAAACTAAAATTCAAAACAAAGATTTACAAATTTTGAAACTAAAACTAAATATACAAAAACTCAAGAATAACATAAGCATTTTTTAGTATTACAAAATAGTTCATCAACGTTGGGAATTTTATTAGGGTATCATGTCTATCAAACATCAATGCCGGTTGATATTTCTAAAAAAAATTATAAAAATTAAACATTCATAAAAATAATTTAAATTAACAGATGAATATCTTACCATTTCTAAACAAGCTTAAAATTCTTGTTAATATTATAGGCATATTAAAATGCTTAGCCGGATTTTTTTACAATAAATAAAATTATGTACACGTGAAAATATCCACAGAAATGGTAGTACTATGTCGACAACTGATGTCAAAAAAAAAAAAAAATCATAACTCTTACGACAATAACTCTACGACAATCGGACAACATGAGTGCCAAGAGGTCATGAGTACGAATTCGCCGTTTTATCATACTCAATAAAAAATAATAATAAGGAACTCTTCAGCATTTAGGCTAACATAAAATTTTTCAGCATCATATAAGTCAATACATGCATCTTTACTCACTAATCAGTTGAGAAATCAGAAGGAGACTCTCTCATGATGGCAATGCCTTCCGAAAATGGAACCAACGAAAACATAACCCATCCCTTTGGGTTTTGTATTGTATATTTTGTGAACCCACTTAAAGAACCTTCAGTTATCTGTACATAGAAAAATGTTATATCTTACAATCCAAATTACCAAAACTATGAGGGATTCCCACCATCCACAGGTCATATTTCAGCAAAAGCCTTTTTCTACAATCTGGCATTTGTGTCTGCTAATATGCTCTTCAGCGTCTCGTAGGTCATGAAGCAAATGCCCACCCCAGGCACAACCTTGTAGTATTCGGGCAAAATCCCTCGGTAGAAACCCCGGAACCCTTCTGTCCTCAATATGTGCCTGAACACACCGAGAAGACCTGTAGTGTACACCCGTGCTCGGCCACCGGCTCCCTCCAACTGCTTCCGTCGCCTCACGAGGTCCAGAGGGAACGTTGCTGCAAATTATAGTGGGTAACATAATATAAACCGAGCTGTACAGTATAGCAGATAGAGAGGACCTTCAATTTCACTTTGTAGGAAAAGATTAGACATCGGTAAGGTAAGGCTAAAACTGCTAACACGAGGTCGAAATAGTTAATTACATTTCAGCCAAAATCACACAACAGAGAAGAAGCTGCTAAGATAGCACAAGATAACGATATTAAGCAGAAAGCTGAAAAGAAATGATGATGGAGCTACAATTCTAACCCACCTAAATGTTTTTGATATAAAACAATAGGTTGAATACTATTTTAATCTTTTCAGCTCGAGAGTTTACCATTTTGGTTCCCTTACAAGATCAATTTTAATTCTTATGCTCTAAACAAACTGACGTATGCAGCAGAGCCGCTCAACAAGAATCAATTGCGTTCTATTCAAATTAGAAGTGAAACAAAATGCAATCATGCTGGCACCTTTCTGGTACGTTTGCATAAGCACTAGGTTTCCATGAGATACAACTCAGGCATAGTCAGAACAGAACCATTCTATTCTCATAAATACTAATAGACCACGACCAAAGTCCTCAAAGATGAGGCTTTTCAAGGATTCAAAAACCCGTTTGACAAATGTAAAAGAGAGCCCAAGTGAGAAACATACCTCAGATAGGGCACCTCTCACACCTGAAAATGATATTCTAGTATATGTATATGATTAATAGTGCCAACCTCCATTAAACCCCACTGTCATGCTTGGGGGACCAATTTTACGCAAAACTTTTAAGTTGACATAATAAAATTAAGGTGATAATATGGAATTTTTTTATCAACTTCCTTACTAAAATTTTCATATGCCATACAAAATACAACTCCAGTCTGGTCTCTGTCTCTAGGGTCAGTCTGGTTAAATACTTTGGTGCAGAGCCTGCACCACAGCCTGTTTCTCTGCATCAAAAGCATGGCAAACAGCTATATGTATTAACCTCTTTTTTTGCACTGACATTTTTTAACAAAACAATGAAAGCAGTTGAATTAAAACTTCGCTAGCTCCAGCACTATGATTAGCATAAAAAATAGTAGGTTAGTTGACGGTAATGCAGCATGTAAAAGGAAATATCAAATATGAACCGCAGGGATTTCCAACAAGAAAAATGATCAAATCCAAGAAACCACTCACATCCGTAAAATACTAAAGATAGATACTTCAAGAAACATTGCAGCAACAAAGAACATCCCCAAAGAAATTGATTCTCTCTGAAAATTAACCCACATCAGAGATCACTCACCTGTAGAGGATGCAATGCCTGATAGACTGCCACAGGTCAAACTAACCAAAACAGTAGAATCATGAGGCCTGAAATATATTTTAAAACAAGTTTTAAGGACTAAATGAAGAAGCACATGTAGATAGCTCCGAACAGTTTGCCTGAAACCCACCATATAATTAATGGATTAATTTGAAAATCCTTACCTATGAGACTGCCAGAAAGACCTCAAGCTTTCGTACACTGAAAAGCTGATAGCTATGTTGGGACCAACACCCTGCATAGATGACAAAAGTGGTGAGCTATATTTGCAAAGCAGGGCTGGTATTCCTAAGTAATACAACTCAGATGGTAGTAAAACGCATACCAGTATTGTTGCTCCAAGTCCCTTGTAAAGACCCAGAAAACCTTCTTCTCTACAAATTGTTTGCAAAGTATGACAAATACCTTTGTAATAGGTCACATTCGTCTGCAAAGCACAAAACTATAAAGTTAATGCAAAAACAAAGTGCAGATGCTAACATATGATTTAAAATCCTGCTGGACCATTCAAAAGATGGACGAAACGAAAGATGAACCAATCAAGCCAAAATCATATTTGAATATACAAAGACTACAGATGCCATCTCAAATGAGCCTGTCTTGTGTCTAGCAAGACGAATGCTGTGGAATATCAGATCAGTCTAGTTAAATAACTTATCAAAACCACAGCTCAAAAATCAGGATTAACCACCATACAAGGCAGTCAGGTTTGTTGCAACAAACAGCTGTTTACAAGAAGTTCCCAACCATATGATCTCACCTGAGCAGCAAGACGAGTCCTTACGAGGTCCAGTGGATACGTAGTTGATGCTGCTGTAATTCCTGCCAAGCCACCACCCAGGAAGTGAACTAAAAGGTCTGCACTCATGTGATCCCTATGACGTTCAAGACCTGGGACCATGTGTAGTAACTACATAACATACAAACAATTCATTAAGATCAAGGCAACTGGAGAAAAAAATTCAAAAGAAATAATTCCAGATTTAAGACTCTATGATGGTATTTTTTCATAAAAAAGATAACACCAACCTTTTTGTAGTGTTCATATGCATAGAAATTGATAGAAGAATATGGAAGTCGATGAGCAATTGTAACAAGATTCCCTTTCCAGAAAGCTCTTATTCCCTCCTCATGAACAATTCGTGAAGCCTCATGCCATATGCTGGCTTTCCTCAGCAATGCTACATCAGAGTGCATCCCTTGAACCTGAGATGACAACAACGAACAAGGCAGTTATACATCCATCAATGAGGAAGAACAATAGCATAGATCATACAAACTCATTATTCACGACACTGCATGTCTGCAACCCAAAATTCCAACAGAGAAATGGAACAAAACACTAAATAGACAGGCCGAGCCACCAGTTTTCAAGAAATCAGGACACGGGCACAGTTAGGGACGTGAATTAAATGCCTTCCTCTTGTTTATTTTATTTTGAATTATGATATCTACATCTAAAATAAAATATAAAATGAATCAGAGATTAGATAATCAAAAACCTATTATTAGTTGAAGAAAGTAATGAGATATTTGAAATGCCATCTTATAACAAAGGTTTATGGAGGAACCCTAAAGTAAATAAACATACTTCTAACAAATTCAATATCTAACGAATAACAAAAAGAAAATTCAAAGTTATATATGTTCATAATGGAAAGCACACTTTTCTTCTTAAAGTATACTTTTTTTTTCTAGTCTGAAATCATTTTTAAGAGAACAAAAAATAATAAAATGATTTGACATTCTAGTTTTAGTGTGCTGTGCAATAGATGCCAGCAGTACATGCAATTATGTAAAGATAAATATGTTACTCAAATTAGAGCGTCCATACTACAGTATCTTCATCCTCAACTTAAAGTAGCACAAAGATAATCTGGGTAAAAGTAAAAGATCCAAGCACCAGAAAAGGAAAGGGGATATAACCCGAATGTTAAAAATCATTCATGCATAAGAAAAAAAGTTCAACAACTGCGCTCATTATATTAATCATATCTTATTCCTATTCTCATCATAAAATATAATTGCATGAAAATGAAATCTTCCACCTGTATTACCAAAGTACATTTCTCACCTCACTTAGTTATAATGGAAAAGTCGTCAATATGACTCCAGTATAAATCCAAAGACTGTATTCTGAAGCTATTCAGCTTCAGGAAAATGTTTGGCGAAAGAAGAAAAACTGGAGAGAGATAAAAAAACAGTCCTCATCCAGAATTTCCATGTGCCAAAAGCCTAACTTCACACCGAGAGTAACCCCCACGTCACAAAAAAGAGAACAGGGCAAACCTAGCATATAATTTGCACCAAAAAAGTACCGATAGCATAGCAATTAGACAAACAATTTCATCACATTGACGAATCAAAAGTATCGACAATAACCGAAAGAAGAAAAAAAAAAACCTGAAAGAGTATTGTAAGCCGGGCGAGTGGCGCGGTGCAGGTCTTACTAAAAGCCCCCGCAACTCCTCCAGATAGAAGCTGTGACACCGTCCCTATCTGCGATTGCTGCAGCGACTGTTGCTTTTTAGGTGCGAAATTTCTCGCACCTCCCTCGACAGAAACCACCCCTCCATGACCAGAACTGAGAGCTCTCTGCCCCCCTTCCATCATCACAGCAACCCTAGCCTCCGTTTGCATGTCAAATTAAGAATCTCGAATCCCTTTCCGGATCGCCACAAAGCAAAGCAAAACAACCTCCTCGGAAGCAGAGATCAGAGCTTGCTTTCAAAGCACTGACGAATTAAAGAACAAAAAGAATCAAAGAACATGAACCACTATCACCAACTCGAAGTTGCAGCCCAAAGCACAAACCTTCCCCTTTGTCCTGTTCTAGGTTTTGATTTGAACCTCACAGCTCAACTCTGCGCTAAACCGAATGAAGAGAAGGAAGAAAGAAGATGAAAGCCCCACCATCCGACGTCGTTTAGCGTCAACATTCTGACTCGGGCAAAACGACCTCGTTTCGTCACCGACCTTATTATTCATGATTTCAATCCTACGCGGGCGTTCGCATTGTATCATCTGATGGGGCTGAGGGCGGGACCGTCCATCGTTTGATCAGATTGAAAACTATTGTATGATAATGATTCTGGGGAGTAGAGGTTTGTGTGATATCGGTAGAATATTCGTTCGGTCGTAATATGATTAAAATAGAATCGGGTGCAGGGAATAGTTCCTAAGCTTAGAATATCTGATTTGTTTTTATGGAATATTCTTGCTAAGTGCTGATGGTGGAAAAGATGGCGTGCGGGTGAAGCTCATTTATTAATCCTTTTTTTTTATAAACAGAAATTTTAGAAACAAAAAAATTGTTCCCATTTTGAAGAAAATGAAGGGAAAAAAATAAAGAATAAAACAAATTACCAAATGTAATTACGTTTTGCTTTATTAGAAAAGAAGAAACAAAAAACAAGGAAAAAAAAAACTAAAATACGTGTCCTTAATCCAAATTTATGTTAATTATAAAGGGGATAGATGCTAAATTAAATTATGTCTATATTGTTACTCATACACATCCAAACAGACGCATGAAATTTTATTGATCCGTTTCTCTTCRATGTTTTTCCTTTCTATAAAATAATTTTATTGTTTCTTTCCATCCAAATTCTTCTAAGTCCGAATTTGATAGATTTATTCTAAGCTCCTCAAACATCATCTCGAAAGGGTGGCTATATACGGTAGCAATTGAAGTAAAGTTCCATCCAAAAATTAACCCGCACAAGTTAAAAATTGGTTATGGGGAGCTAGAAATTAGTCATTGAGCCCATCAATTGAAAGCCTAGCTAGCCTGTTGTCAAGCCCACTAATGACCCTTTTGGTGAGTTTTGTCWCTGCACATATGAATCTATAACAATAGTGGTGGGAGGAAAGAAAAAACTATAATCCACCGGTGATCCTAGAATCCAGAAAAAAATATACTTTTGGTCCGTGAAATTCGAGGTAGATTTCTATTTGATCCCTGAAGTTTTAAAATAGATAATTTTAACATACTATCAGAGTGGGAGGTCAGCCCACAAGTGAGGGGAATATTAGATATCTACCAATGAAATTAAATTTACCCAATATAGATATTTTAATTGACACTAGATGAAGAAAAGGAAGGAATGATAGCTTCAAAGAAAAAGAAATAGTACAAATATGGTTCCTTTTCTACTAAATGAAAGAAATTTAGAAACTTAAATTTAAATATTTTTATTGATTTCGACCTACGTTTAAATGTTGTTGGATATGTCTAGGATAAAATAGCTGACACATGATTGTTAGATAATTAATTATCTTGATCACATGGATCTATTCTAATACAGATAATAATTATGTCAACTCTCCAAAATAGTACATAAACTTTAACTTGTAATGTGAGATGGACTAGAAATGGTTAATTAATTAATCAAGTGAATTAATGGTATATAATATCTTCTATATGTTAAGGATCCTACATTAAAAAGATAAATAATCTAATAAGAATTTATAATATCTAAGTGGACTACTTTTCTTATTACTTTTGACAGAATTTTATTATTGATATAGTATCATAATTAAATATCTCAAATATGAGCATCTGGTGCAAAAATGAGTTCGGGCCAACATTGGTGAACCCAAAAAGTGGCGTTGAGTGTTACATTTATTTTTCTTTTCCTTTATTTTGTTGCTTTTTTTTGCCCTTCATGCGTTGCATGCTTGATATTTTTTAATCTCTCTCTTAGTCGAGAGGTTGAAGTTCTTCAGGCCGCTCCATATACTATATTATTAAGATATATATTATATCAAATTTATAATAAAGAAGACTTTGGAATATGAGGGAGAAAATTTTCCAAGTTTGTTATATATATATATATGGTGTTTGTTCTAATGGCAATGGCAAGAAGTAGAACTATGTCTTCTCTGATCTTCAAGTTCATCTTCTTCAGTCTTTTCTATAGGCTGCTCGTTTCTGGCTCTCATATTGACAATGATGGTCGGAAGGTAAAACATATCCAATTTTGATGTCTACTTTTGAATTATATTTGTTTTGTTTTTTTGGACAAAATTTGTGTTTTTTTTTTTGCAGACTTATATTGTATACATGGGGAGCAAGCCAGAGGACACAACTTCCACTCCTTTGCATCATAGGGCAATGTTGGAAGAAGTCATCGGCAGGTTCCTATTCATTTCTGGATATAATACTCAAACTTTTTTTTTTCTTTTTTTTTTTGGTCCTGATTTGAGAGAAAAACAAAGAAAGGAAAAGAAAACAAAAATGCAACTGGTTAAAATATATGTCATCGTTCAGAGGTTGGAAGTTCGAATCTTCTTTAAATTTGGAAAAAAATCATAAATGTAAAGTGGTTTAAGAATTCAGTACTCTCTTTTAAACAACAAAATCAAGAATATTGGCCCGTTTGATAACTACTTTCTTTTTAAAAATTAAGCCTACAATTCACTACTTCATATGTATTTGTTTATCGTGTTACCAATTCTTAAAAATATTTTCAAATTTGGTTAAGTTAAAATTTGAAATAAAAGAAAATGAGTAGTTTAAAAAAATTTGTTTTTATTTTTAGAATTGAGTTAATGATTCAAATATGTTAGGAAGAAACGGAAAAAAACGTACTAAATAAATTAGGAGGAAACAATCCTAATTTAAAAACAGAAAATTAGAAATGAAACCATCATCAAATAGATCCATCATTTAAAAAAAAACACTTATTTTTTAAGTATATTTTTGAAGAAAAACACTAATCACTTGAGATTATCTAACCAAATAATAAGAAAAAAAATTTAATAATTACTTTTAATGAACTAAAAAAACACCTTTTACCCTTTTTGGAAAGTCAACTTAAACTCACCTTTAGGTTGACTAGCTCTTTATTTGTCACGAAAAATGTTAAAAGAAATGATTTTAAATTATGTGATTTGAAATTAATTAAATTAAATTTATTTGTTTGAATATTCGAAATTTTTTTTTACTGATTTGAGTTTTTAATCTAAATTTATTAATTAAAAATTAAAATATGATAAGATTAAATATGTAATTTATTTTAAAATTCTATGAAATCTGATCTTTTTTATTCGGAATTTGTTTTTATGTAAAAACATGATTTGAAATATGGTAAGATTTCAAGGCATTCATCATGTGACATCAAACAATGAAATTCAAAATCCTAGGTAACAAATAGATCATTAAGTGTTGGTTTAACTCTCCAAATTCTTAACAAAAATTAGATTTACTGAAATTAGTACTTTTTTTTTAGCTCGCTCCGGAGTCGTTGCTCTACAGCTACAAGAGAAGTTTCAATGGATTTGCAGTGAGACTCACCGAAGAAGAAGCTCTAAAGGTTGCTGGTACGTATAATTTCAACCCCTTTTGGCTTTTATATCTTTAGCTTTCAAACTCGAACTCATTTTCCAAAAACTGAGTCCATAACTTGTGATATTTCAGCAAAGGAGGGTGTGGTCTCTGTGTTCCCAAATGGAAAGAAGCATCTTCATACCACAAGATCATGGGATTTCATGGGGTTTTCACAGAGCGTTCCTCGGGCACATCAAGTAGAAAGCGACGTCGTTGTCGGAGTTTTGGACACCGGGATTTGGCCGGAGTCTCCAAGTTTCATCGACGAAGCTTTCGGTCCACCTCCGGCCAAATGGATGGGAGCATGCCAAGCCGCCGACGACTTTCGTTGCAACAAGTATGAATCAGAATTCTTACACCTTGTCTTTCATATTCTCTATCTTTGGATAACAGAACGGCTGAAAAAAGAGTTTCAGATAAAAGTACTCTAATTTAAATAAATGGAAGATACGTCATAATTATAAAAAAGAGAAAATTCTTTTACACCATTGTGATGCCATTGTGATGCAGTAACATTGTTATGTTCTATTGTTATGTTCCAGTCAGATTAATTAAAGAAAGGAATCGATTGCGTTGCTCTACAACATGTTTCTATGTGATGTAAGAGGGATCTGCAAAATTTTTCAAATACTACTTTATTTTTTTGTTATAAATACTATTCTTTTTTGTTTTTGAAATAAAAAAATTAGGAGAACCATCATGCGGGATTCATTAGTCCAAAAGGACTGGGATTAATTAAGAGGGAATATGTTCAATCCCTTGATATCATGACCAATAATTCAAAGGATATATATAAAGATTCCATAAGATTCGATTCATTTTAATAATAAACAAAAACAAATAGGATTGAGATTAGTTGAGGTGGAACCCAAACACTTACGGATATTAAGAAAAAAAAATTAAAAGAAAGAAGTTTAATTGTTTTAAAACACGAAAAACAATGTTTTGACCTAATTAGAAAAATCATCGGAGCTCGAGTGTACCGTAGCGAAAGCTTGCCCCCAAGTGACATTCGAAGCCCAAGAGACTCAAACGGGCATGGCACGCACACCGCATCGACCGTGGCTGGTGGTCTCGTGGAACAGGCAAGTCTGTACGGTCTTGGCATTGGCACGGCGAGAGGAGGGGTTCCCTCGGCGCGCATCGCTGTGTACAAGATATGTTGGTCCGATGGGTGCTCCGATGCCGATATTCTTGCGGCGTTCGACGACGCGATCGCGGACGGTGTCGATATCATATCTCTTTCAGTTGGGGGGAGCGAACCCAATTCTTACTTCAGCGATCCCATTGCCATTGGAGCTTTCCACGCCATGAAACATGGAATATTGACCTCCAACTCCGCCGGAAATGAAGGTCCCAATTACTTCACTGCCTCAAACATCTCTCCATGGTCTCTCTCTGTGGCTGCAAGCACCACTGATAGAAAGATATTGACACAAGTGCAGCTTGGCAATGGAAATATCTATCAGGTCATATTTACTTTTCTCTTTCACTCCATACCTAATTAACATTCAAATTGATGAAACATAAAGAAAATTAAGGTTAAAATCTAGTTTGGCCTCTGTATTTTCTTTTGGTTCATTGCAATCTTTTTATTTTTAAAATATTCTTTTTGGTCTCTCGTACTTTTCATTTTGATTTATTTTAGTCTCTTTAATTTCAAAATTTTCATTTTAGTCCTGGTACTTTTAAAATGAGATTATTTTGATTCCTTAATTTTATTCTTAATCTCATTTTTTTCTATCACAATTTCAACACGACACATATATTTTTAAAAAATATAAACATTACTTTATATTAAAAGTTTCCATTGGTGTAAAATTTGTGTTAAAATTTTTCAAATGGGAACTAAAATGATCACTTTTTGAAAGTACGGGACCAAAATGAACATTTTCAAATTATAGAGACTAAAATGAACCAAAACTTAAAGTACATGGACCAAAATGAATATTTTCAAAGTACGGAGACTAAAATGAACGAACGATGAAAGTACAAGAATCAAAATAGTATTCTAACCAGAAATTAAAGTTCTTGATTTATTTACTTAGAATTTCATTGTTATTGATTGTCATCTTAGATATTTTCACACCATTGATTATCATCTTAGATATATTTGATTAAAATAATTATAATGCATGTTATATATTCCATGTTTATTATTATTATTATTATTTTTTGTGGTTTGAATCTGTTCCTAAAATTTTAAGATCCTATTCTATTTTGTTGATATTAATTTGTAGCAGGGGGTTGCAATTAATACATTTGATCTTCTGGGAAAACAATATCCCTTAATTTATGCTGGAGATGCACCCAACATCGCCGGAGGTTTCAATGGCTCCATCTCCAGGTAATTAGTTTCATTTTAATCCCTTTTTACTTAGCATTAATAGTGTTTAATGTTTTGACATTATATAATTCAATAATTCAATAATTACTGAAAAAATATTGGTTTAAAATAATTTCATCATTTTTTTTTCTAGAACAAAACATAGATATATCAAGCAAATCTATCAATTTTTCATACAGAACGCAACTTTATGGCATTTCAAGAAGGAATTAATCTTACTTTCTTATATGTGATTGGTTATTTGCTTATATTAGTTTTAAGGATAAAGTATTAATTTGTTCTCCATGCAAATTTTGGATAGTGTGTCTATTTAGTTGCTAAATTTTTTTAAAAATTAAGTTATTATGTCTTAGAACTTTGAATTTATGCTTCTATTTAATATCTTTCGTTAATAATAATTAATATATTTTTTTGATAATACAATTAACAGTTTGTTGTTAGTACCAACAATTGATAGATTATTGTTCATATATAACACATATTATTAGATAAATTTTTTACTAAGTTAGTATAATGTTTGGGAGATGATTGGACAAACTAAATGAACATGTGTCAAATAAGGATTCCGTCAATGTCTTAACATCATGAACTGAATAGAAACATTATTAAAAATTCACCAATATGATTATAGTTCAACCGTTAAAACATAAACTCTCAGAAGTTTAAATCTCCATCGTAGTATAAAAATGTTGCTTAAAATTTAAGAACATAATTAAAAAACTTTAAATCTGAAAACTACATGTATCGACATTATGAGCTTGAATTACATGTATTGAACTAATAGATTTAAAAATACATTTAATAAAGAAAAAAACATAGTTAAAAGTGACTACTCTCTTGCCACCAATAAAAAATTTGTCAACTTTTTAGTTTTTAGAAAGCATAAAAAAATCATCATTTTGTATATTTTTAGATCTTACTTATCAAAATTTTAATGGTAAGCCTGAGAAAAAAAAAAGAGGGAGCTCCTACAATAAAGTAAACCAATAATGTATATATTTTTTAATTCAATAAATAAATGAGTGAAGATTGAATCTTAAATCTTAGATTTTAGAGGAAAAATGAATTCTTTATCCACTATATTGAATTGACTATAAACAAATTGCACTGATTATAAATTAATGATTCTTAAAGACAAATATAAGATGATAAATGTTCGGAGTCTTGAGGTACCACCTTACTTTATTTTGAGATCTCGGTCTCAATTTTGAACATTATTATTTTGGTAGGCATCGATTTTAGAAAATGAAAAATGAATAAATAAATTGTACAAAAGAAGAAAATTTATGAGGAAAGAGCTCTAGAAACTAACACCATAAACCTTTTGGAACTATAGGCTTTGTGTTGAAAACTCAGTGGATAAAAACTTGGTGAGAGGAAAAATCCTTGTTTGCGACTCCCTTTTGGGTGCTTCAAAATTGGCTTCCTTCAATGCCACAGTTGGCATCGTAATGCAAGACCTCAGACTCAAGGATTACGCATCCTCTTATCCCTTCCCTGCTTCCTATCTCCGCACAGCAGCCACCGATGACATTCAACTCTACATCTCTTCAACCACGCAAGTCTTTTCAACTCGAGAAATCATTAGCGGTGCTTGCTACAATGTAACTGATAGTTTTAAACATGAATAATTTCTCTGACTTGAAAGGATTTTGTTAATATTTTGATCTGCAGAGATCCGACTGCAACCATTTTGAAGAGTATTGCAGTGCAGGATGCTTCGGCTCCTGTCGTGGTTTCCTTCTCCTCTAGGGGTCCCAAATTTATAACACGTGATATTCTCAAGGTTAGATTTTAATCGGTTGGTTTTGATCCATTAGCTGGTAAAATCAATTGAGAAGCAACTCATGTCTATTATAAATCTTTGTTAGGTCTCTTCTTTTTTTTAAGTAGGAATTTGTCTTGTACATTTGTAGTCGGATTTGAGTGCACCGGGAGTTGAAATTCTAGCTGCATGGTCTCCGTTGGCGCCGGTGTTGGGAGTTAAGGGAGATTCAAGGAGTGAGCTTTATAATATAATCTCAGGGACGTCCATGTCTTGCCCACATGCGACTGCAATTGCTGCATATGTCAAAACATTCCATCCCACCTGGTCTCCTGCCGCGCTAAAGTCAGCTCTCATGACAACTGGTAAATTATCAATCCAACTGCAACAGCCCATTTGATAATGTTTTTGGTTTTATATCTTCTCTTTCTTAAAATTAAACTCGTAAACATTGTAATTGTATTTATCTGTTTTGCATATGATCTTTTCATCTGAAAATCTAAACCAAAATTTGAAAACTAAAAACAAGTAATTTTAGAAAACATGAAATTATCAAATAGAGCCTAAAACATAGGAGTTACAGTAAACACTCTCATCTCATACGTGGGTTTGAAAATTAGCACAAAGCTTTCTATCAATATTAAATGAAAAGCAAATGATAAGATATCATATATATTCTAGTACCATATCTATTAAATATATCACTAACAAGTCAAAAAGCTTAAGTTGATAGCTAGATTAAGGCCCCATTTTCGTTTCTTATTTCTGGTTTTCAATTTTATTAAGAAATCTAAGTATTTAATAACTATTTATGTTTTTGTTTCTCATTTTTTAAGAAACATTTTCAAGATTGTATAGAAATTTTGAGAACATGAAAAATATAAAGTTTCGAAATTTCTTGTTGTATTTTCTGACTTGTTCCATAACATAAATAAAAATATTATTTTATCATTCACAAACCTATGAATCTCGAACACCATATCATTCTATTTTTCTTTATTAAAAGGAAAGAAAACAAAACCAAGAAAGGAGAACAAAACCAACACATAAGTGGCAGCTTTAAAGTGATTTCTTGCATGGTTAAATTTTGTGCAGCTTTTACGATGAATGCGAAACTCAACCCACAAGCAGAGTTTGCATATGGTTCAGGCCATGTGAACCCACTGAAGGCAGTAAATCCAGGGCTGGTCTATGACGCGAATGAAGGCGACTATGTCAAATTCTTGTGTGGCCAAGGGTACAGCACCGCCATGGTCCGGCGCATCACGGGCGACAGCAGTGCTTGTACTCCCGGCAACATTGGAAGGGTGTGGGATCTGAACTATCCTTCTTTTGCACTTTCAACAGCCCCTTCACGACCCATCAACCAATTCTTCAGAAGAACTCTCACAAACGTGGAATCTGGAGCGTCCACGTACAGTGCTGTGGTTTTTGGCCCACCGGATGGCCTCCACATCACAGTGAATCCTTCTGTTCTTTCATTCAATGGCGTTGGAGATACGAAATCTTTCAATTTAACAGTTCAAGGAACGGTGAGCCAGGCCATAGTCTCTGCTTCTCTGGAGTGGAGTGATGGTGTGCATCAAGTGAGAAGCCCTATAACAATCTACTTTCTTAAATAAACCTAAGTATAGTTTGGTTTGTGAACTTTATTCAAATAGTTGAATAAAATTAACCTTCTTGTGTTTTTCGTTTTCTCGTTTCCAATTTCTGGATTTTCTGGATTTTTTGAAAATTTATGGGTAAATTTAAAATAAATGAGAAAACACAGGTGAAAGAACAGAGTTCGTTTTTCTTTTTGTAGAACGTGGTTCAAGAATTTTTTGGTTCGTCTCGGGCTCAGTCACTCGCAAGATTCGGATAGGGGCAACAAGTCTTTTCAATAATTATTTTATTAATTTATATTAATATGCCTAATTGAGATTTAATTATTTTATATTAATAAAATAGGTCAATCAAATAATTTAATGGTTACTTTTTAAGATTTTTTTTACAATAAAAATTTTATTATTTTATATTAATATAGCCATTTTGTATTTTAATTAGTTTAATAATTGTAAAATCTAAATTAAAATTTCATAACTTAACTAAATTTTTAAATTTTCTATTAAATATACTTGATAAATACAAATCTGGAGATTCATAAAAATAAATACATAGTTAAAATGAAAATACTTGAAATTTCATTGATCACAATAACGCGAACCTAAAATTTCATAGACAAAAATTAAGATTTATCTTTAATAATTCTCCCATAACAAATATAGTCTAATTTTTTAATCTTTATTTAAGATAAACTATATATAATATATCATTATATACATAAGTGTGGAACCTAATCGACCTACAAATGAAAAGCTCCAACAATACGACATTTGATTAAACTCATTAACCATATTAATTAAAATTCATAAACTACCACAAACTTTTCAAGAGACAATAATTATAGTCCTCTAAAATCCTCTAAAATTTTCTAAAATCTCTAAATTCAAACATTATATTTGAAATATGTATAATAAAATATTTATCTTTAATAGTGGGAATTTATTTTCGATAAAAAAAGAATATAAAATCTATGACATTAAAGGATATAATATAAATCTTCCAAAACATTTAAAATATTAGGAAATCAACCAAATCATGCCTAGAGTAAATTTATTAAAAAAAAAAATAGTACAACAAAAAATTCACACTATTAAACTATCAAAATCTAAAACTACCAAACATGTCTGACTTATTTTAAATCTATGTATTTATTTTTATGAATTTCCAGAGTTGAATTTATGAAGTATATTTAATAGAAAATTTAAAAACTTAGATAAATGATAGAAATTTTAATTTAGATTTTACTAGAAAAGATGTTAATTATTAACCTAATTAAAATACAAAATAGCTCTATTAATATAAAATAATAAAATCTTTATGGTAAAAAAAAATCTTAAAAGGTAACAATTAAAATATTTGATTGACCTATTTATTAATATAAAATAATTAAATCTCAATTTAAAATATTAAAAAAATATGTATATTAATGTAAATTAATAAAATAATGATTTAAAAAAATTCTTCAACGACTTTCTACGACCGTGTTTTCTTTCCGTGTTGATGCGACAGATTCCAAGAGACGCATTCTTTCAAACTCACCAATTCACATTTTTTTTTATAGACGCAACATCCTAAAAGTCCAAAATTTGTAGCATACACCCGTTTTTTCTCATTTATTTTAAATTAACCCACAAACTTTCAAAAAATCCCAATTTTCTTAAGAAATCTAAGCATCTTGGAACTAACTATGTTTCTCGTTTGTTATTTTTTGGGAACACAAAATTGTATAGCAAATTTTAGAAACAACTAAAATAAATTTCTTTTTTCTTGTTCCTATTTCCCACTTGCTCTAAAACATAAGTAAGAAGATTATATTATCAAGGGTTCATCGATATTGAGACCACACAATTCATTTTTCTTTATTAAAAATGATAGAAACAAGAAACAGAATCGTTACTGAACGAGGCTTAAAAGACTTTTTTTTTGTTTGAAACGAGACCATTTCATTCATAAAGTATTTGAGAATAACATACATACAAAAGGGAGACTAAACAAATACATTCCAATCAAGCGAAATGGTTAACAGATCATAATTAAAAAAAAAAAGAGGAGACTTTGTAAATCATGAATGTACTAAGGTCTTGATATCTTCCCAAAAATTAAGATAAGATATTAGTGTTATTAACTAAGTCTGTTGTAATTAGTTTTTACTAGAGTTAAATTGTTTTAGTTAGTTAACGCTGGTTAGTTTTATCTTCCCTGTATTTAATGTTGTAAAGCTTCTTTCACAAGCTAATGGGAAATATACAGAGTTATTCTCTCTCATAACCGAATATAAGATCTAGAAAAATAAGTTGCATTCCAGCCATATGCTCCAAATGAGAGATCCCACAGTATTGCCCAATCTTGTGTTGCGGTTCAAGTGACGGAAGGAGAGAGGGAGCAAGGAGGAGATAGGGTAGCAGGATAAAATTAACAGTTGACACATTTTATTAATTGTCTTTATTTACAAATTAAACCACTGTTACAACTACCTCTTAACCAACTCAATTGCCTTTACATCACCTCAAATTAATATTAAAAATAACATAAGAAAAGTAGACGATGATGTATTATTATTATTTTTTTTATTTTTTTTTTGGTTAATTCACGACTTAAGTTTTGGATAATAATTAAAATCTGAGGGAGACTATTCGATCAATAGGAAACGACAAATAGTGGATGGTTGTAGAAAATTAATTATGACAGATTATCAAAATCAACGCGCCAGAACAATAGGTCATTTTTTAAAAATAATATTATTGTTTTCAAACATATTTGTAAAATACATTAATTAAGATATGCAAAAAATTAATATTTAAATTTATAAAATATTAATTCCTAATTTAAAAAAAATGCAAGAAGGCACGATTTCACATTGAAACGAATAAAAACTACAACATTTCTTTCCCTTTTTTTTAATAACAAAACTACAACAGTCTTAGAATAAAGTTTAAAAAAATAATATTAGTTGGAACAATACAATGGTACTTTTTCACCCAAAAATATTGTTAACGATTATTTTTGTCGTTCATTTTGAAGATTTAAATTCTAAAGCATATCTTTTGTAGGGATAAAACTTAGATGTTTAATAAATAGATAGTATTTTCTTAGTACCTCTCTTAAAAAATTGATAATTATTTGTTTTATTCTCTCTATCTCTTTAGGTCATTTTTTCTCTTAATTGTCATTTATTTAATGGTACAGGTCTTTTTAATTGGTTTCTGTAATTGTTACACTAGGTTACAGCATAATATTGTGGACATAAATTTTTCTTCCTCCACTATTTTTACTTGCTATGTTCTAACGAGCGAACTTCAAGTTCTGCCTCCATAATAGCGTTAAGACTTTGCAACATCTTTTGGATTCATATTCGATGAAATTCCGACGGCGAATTTGAAAGTTTTGGTGGGAGATGGGGATGGAGTGTTAAAATCCCACGTTAAAAACAAAATGAACCTTACAAAGGTTTATAATAGACTTATGTTATTTTTTTATTTTTATTGATTTTGAGAGCAACTCTACATACATTACTAGGGACTAATAGAATTGAGAGGTTTCGGAGAAAGTTTTGGAATATCTAACCGATTCAACATGAGGGTTTAAAAAATAAAATGGTCAAATTAGGTGATCATCTTTTGTCTTATTAGCCCAATTCATCAATTTCTTTATTTGTTATCCCGCTTCCTCACTCCTTTAAATTAAAACCTCAGATTCTAAGAAATCATATGATTCTGCCATTTACAAAGAAGAGCAATACTAAAATATGTCTTCTCTATTCTACAAACTTATCTTCGTCAATGCATTGATCAGTGTGCTCGTTGCCCGTTTCTATTATTCTAGCGATGATGATCGAAAGGTACAAGTTATTCAATTTTAATGTCTCTACTTGTGAAATATATTGGGGTGCTGTCGTGTTTTTCGTAGATAAAATTAAACTGACATATATATATATTTGTTTGTTCTTTCGTAAAATTTTTGCAGATTTATATTGTGTACATGGGGAGCAAGCCAGAGGACACAGACTCTGCTCATTTGCATCACAAAGGAATGTTGAAAGAAGTAGTGGGCAGGTAGTTTTGATATTCATTTTGCACCATTGAAAAAAGAAGATCCAACCACATACAATACAAACGTGGATTGGTTTTTGTTTATTTTGGAGTCAAATATTTTGATATAATCAGTGTATCTGTCATGGTCATATATGGCGGTGAAACCTTCGCTGACTCTATAATATTTGGTGTCAGGAAATAAATATAAATTACTAATTCATGAGTTTGAATTTCCCTCTTAATTAAGCTTAGTTCTTTTAGACCAATGAACCATACGTAATGGTTATATATGGTGAAACATTAATGTTTTGATTCTTTTTTGAGATTTTTTTTCCTCAGAAATTTTGCTCCAGAATATGTGATATGCACTTATCACAAAAGTTTCAATGGATTCGCGGTGAAACTCACCGAAAAAGAAGCTCAAAAGATTGCTGGTACAGCATACTCAACTCAACATCTTTTATTTAGCCTCTCTTCTGTATGTTCCTCGCATAAGATAAATACTTCGGTATGTTTTTTTTCAAATAAAAAGAAGAAACATCTCTTTTAGTTCAAAGGAAAATTAGCGAGTGCATGATTTGGGGATTTAATTTCAGATAAAGAAGGCGTGGTGTCTGTGTTTGAAGATGAAAAACATGAAGTTGAAACCACAAAATCATGGGATTTCCTTGGTTTTCCACGAAACGTTCCTCGGCTGCCCCAAGAGGAAAGTGAAATTATTGTCGGAGTTTTCGACACCGGAATCTCGCCGGATTCTGCCAGTTTCAACGATAAAGGTTTTGGTCCTCCACCGGACAAATGGAAAGGCATTTGCCAAACCTTGGCTGGCTTTCATTGCAACAAGTAAACATTATATTGCTTTTATAGAAGTATAAAAATATATATTTTTCTAGACTTAATTTCATTTTTACTTTTTATTCTTTCTATTTTTTATTGATTATAAATTCATTGTACTTAAAATATAGTATATAAAGATAATATGCTTTGACGAGCCAGGCAGGTAGATAATATTAATATTTTGGAAGCAAATAAATTATATAATAAATATTAGCTAGCCAAGCACATCCAAATATTCCAACTATTGACTAATATATATAAACTATTCATTGATTCTTATTACGTACAGAGGGAGAGATTAACATGGTGCTAGAAAAGACCCATCGTGTTTCTTGAAACGCATTTAAAATCACTTCCTTGAAATTTTCAACAAATGAGGAGCAATTTTAGGAATCATAGAAACCAAATCGGTTTTATTTTTGGATAGTTTTTCTGAATAATAATAGGTAGGATGAGATTTAAACATTTGATTTCTTAGTCGACCATATTGTATCTTTTAACACAATAAAAGAATATTTGTCATCATGTCCATATCTCAATAGAAAGGGTCATTATGTCCATATCTCAATCATTTGTCATCATTGGACATATCTCAATAGTTATGTCCGATAAAAAAGTAACTAAGAAAGGTTGTAACTCGTCAGAAAAATCATTGGGGCTCGAGTATACATGAAGGATGGCCCCCTTCTACCTGGAGAGGTTATGAGCCCAATCGACACCGATGGCCATGGGACGCACGTCGCGTCGATAGTGGCGGGTGGGCTGGTGGATCACGCAAACCTCGAAGGGCTTGCGGAGGGGATGGCGAGAGGAGGGGTTCCCTCTGCGCGCATTGCTGTGTACAAAGTATGTTGGTCCGATGGGTGCGCCACTCATCAGGTTCTTCGGGCATTCGACGACGCAATCGACGACGGTGTGGACATTATATCTTACTCAATTGGCGCCAAGGTGCAGAAGCCTTATTTTCAAGATCCCTTCACCATTGGAGCCTTCCACGCCATGAAGAAGGGAGTACTGACCTCTAAATCTGCTGGAAATAACGGTCATAAATATTCCACCGTCACAGGCATCGCTCCATGGGTTCTCTCTGTGGCTGCAACCACCACTAATAGAAACTTCGTCACAGATGTGCGCCTTGGCAACAACCATGCCTATCAGGTCAACCATTTCCATTTTACTTTTCTATGCCTGTTCCATCATTATTTCTTTGATATATATATATGAATTTTAAAATTAAATTTATTGGAGTAATAATAGCTAGAAAGTAGATAACAAAATAATGAAACCTACATGTGGGAGTGATATTTGTAAGCTTAAATTCAAAAACAAAAAGTCAAATAATTATCAAATGAGTCCGTAATTTTCTTTTAAATCTATTTTAGTTTATGAAATTTTGGTAAGAAATATTCGAATGCATTTTAAAACAGAAAGCAAAGATAATATTATTGTAAAACAGAAAGTTTAAAATTAAATTGTTCCTAAATTTATAAGTTTTGATTCTCAAATTTTAAGATTAGATTCAGTCTATATATTTTTAAATTTTTTTTTTATAGTTCTTAAACTTTGAATAACAAGCTTTTAATAACAGGCTTGCTCTTCTTATTATAATAATTATAATACAAGATCAGATTAGGATGTATAAAACATTATTTTGCATGTGTTCAGGGATATACAGTTAACACATTTGATCTTAAGGGGAAGCAATATTCCCTCATTTATGGTGGAGATGCACCCAACCCCACTTCTACTAAATCGGACTCCAGGTAATTAATGGTCGTTTTTATTTTTCTCTAAATTGTAGTGGATAGTAAAAATCTTTTATGTATTTCAAAAATATGTCTGATGTTTTCAAAATTCACTTATATCAATAGCATATTTAGATAATCGTATAAGTAGTATATCTCATATATATTGTACAGACACTCATTATGTCTATATATCTTAATTTTGACAAACAGTGTTTGCAAAGAAAATTCTGTGAATGTGGAGATGGTGAAGGGAAAAATCCTTGTTTGCGATTCATTGCAGTATGCTTCAACATTCAAATACCTCATTAATGGCCCAGTCGGCGTTCTGATGCAAGACAACAGACCCAAGAACGACGGCAGGTCCTATCCTATGGCCGCTTCCCACCTCAGCAGAGACCGTGGCGGAACTGAAATCGAAGAATACATGTCTTCAACCAAGTACGTTATTTCTTCGGCTTTTAGATTCATTAATGATTTAATCATGTTTAACATGTATAAAGCCATGTGTTCAAATTCCACATTCATTTTCACTTGTTGGACTTTGTGTAATGTTCCAAACCACAAGTGAGAGGGAATCTTAATGAGCTCATATATGATTAAATTTATCATAGATTTAAGTTTTTGAATTCAGAGACGGTTTGATTTAATAAAAGTTTGATCCTCTGGTCCACAGAAATCCGACTGCAACCATTTTAAAGAGTAACACAGTATATGATGGTACTGTTAAAGTTGTTCACTTCTCCTCGAGGGGACCCAACACAATAACAAAGAACATTATCAAGGTTTAATTTATTTTCTGGTTTCCATTAATTGAAACAAAATATATATATAAAACTTTGTGTTGCCATGCATGCAGCCGGATTTGGCTGCTCCAGGGGTTCAAATTCTAGCTGCATGGTCTCCAACTGCGCCAGTTTCTCAGGTTGAAGGAGATCCCAGGAGGACGCTGTATAATATAATTTCAGGGACATCCATGGCATGCCCTCATGCCTCTGCAGCTGCTATGTACGTCAAAACATTCCATCCGACGTGGTCTCCTGCTGCAATTAAGTCCGCTCTCATGACAACCGGTAACCATTTGCGACCATTCATATGGTAAAGAAAAATATTTAGGTCCTGACTAGTGAATATCTATTTTGTGCTGGCCACATAGAAATAGGTCCTCATGAGTCAGAAATATGCTTTCAATTTTCTATTGATCACTCTTATACATCAATATTCATGGGTTCATCTTAAAATCAATTGAGAATAAGAAAAGTAATTTATGTTTATTATAAACATTTATTAAGTTCTTTATCTTTTTCAATATGAGATTTAACCTGCTTCTCAAGATTGTGGCTCTTTTGGCTCATCGATCTTAACCATATCCCATTTTTGGATCATCTAAGCGTGTTGTGGACTCTATATCATCTCAATGATGAATAAATCACCACTAAACCCAAAAGGTTAAGCCAATGGATTAGGTAGGGTTTAATTTATATATTAGATATTTAACACTCTCACTCACTTGTGGACTTGTAATATTGGACAAAGACTCAAAAAGTGGAAATCACGATAAAGGGAGAAAAAAAAACAATGTAGGAGTTCGAAAACATAACCTGCTCTCATACCATATCAATTTTTATGGGATCCATCTTTAAAATCTTACATGTGTTTATTATAAACCTTTGTTAGGTCACTTATATGTGTGAATCGGTTTTGTCTAGCTAAACCCATGGGTAGTTCAAACAAAGAACTAGAGCTTGCATATGGTTCGGGGCTCCTAAACCCGCTCGAGGCAAACAATCCTAGATTGGTGTATGATGCAAGTGTAGAACACTACGTGAATTTCTTGTGTGGGCAAGGCTACACCACCAAAATGCTCCGAGCCATCACCAACGACGACAGTGTTTGTACTCCCGGCAGCTCCATCTCAGTCTTCGATCTCAACTATCCTTCATTCGCACTTTCAGTGGACCCTTCCAACTTGAATGTGAATCAAGACTTCAAGAGAACTCTCACAAGTGTTGCAATGAAACCATACACATATTCGGCTAGAGTTTATCCTGAGATACCAGGCCTGGCCATCTCGGTGAATCCTATTCTGCTCTCGTTTCATGGCGTTGGAGATACGGGTGAATTCACGCTCCGAATTAGAGGAACTGCCAATTTGGGGAAGGGCCAGAACCAGAGCCAGGCAATCTCTACCTCTCTGGAGTGGAGCGACTTTGGTGCGATTCCGCACAAAGTGAGAAGCCCTATATTAATTTATCTTTCTAATATATCTAATTAATGATCCTAAATAGTTTTGATTTGGTTTATTATCTTGAATAAAAAAGAATGAAACTGTATAGGAAGTACTATTTGCTTCCATCACTATTCCATCTTCTCAACTATGTATCTAATAATATTCTCTATGTTGCAACATCTTGCATTTTACGTCATCAAAGTGAACATTCATAGCTTCGCCAACTCTGCCAATGTTTCTTTAAAACGTTGGCAGAAAGTTAGCTCTACCAACGATTTTTAAAGGTCGGTAAAAAGTATGGTTCTGCCAATGTTTCTTAAAAAACGTTGGCCATGTACTTTCCCAACACACTTTTGTTGATTTTTTTGGCCATGAATATTTATCGTGGGGAGAAACTACTTCCAACGTTTTATTGATCTTTTCCCAACAATTTATAGCATTGGGAAAAATTCAAATTTTTACCGTGAAAAGCAAGAAAGCTACCCACCTTCAATGTTCTAAGAAAGTATAACATGAAGCTGAACTTCAGCAAGTCTTCAACGTCACCTCAAAGAAGTTTCTTGGCTTCATGGTTCACCAACGTGAGATAGAAGTGAACTCAAACAAGATTCCGCAGTCCTGAAGATGGAATCGCCTAAGAACTTGAAGCAGATGTAGAGCCTCGATGACAAGATAACTAGCTGCCTGAATCACTTTGTATCTTGCTTTTGTATCTTTGTTTTTATGGTACGGTATTTATTGATTTTGAGAATAGTCAACAATGACCAAATAAATCATAATTTAAGAACATGAATCTTTTAGATACTTAGGGTAATGGTAATGGGTAGTAAAATTAGTTCATATATTTCAAAAAATGTCACCGCTTCTCAAAATTTCAAATATAGTAAAATATTTGAATTTTATTTTTATAATTTTTATTATTCCAATTTTATTTTTATGATATCTAATATACATTCCAGGTATATTTTTATCTGATATAAATTCAATGTATATCTGTATCTGATATACATCCGATGTACCTTGGATATACTTCCGATATACATCCAATGTACCCATGATATACATTTTCAGATGTAAGTATTGTACCTCTTAATATATATATTTAATGTACTTCTAATTTATGATATATTAAATATATTTGCAACTGATATACTAAATATAGGGTATATCAAATGTTTAATTTTTAGTGGTATATTATCTGTTTAAATTTCTAGTTTACTATTGCAATTTGTTGATTGATATACTAATATTATCAATGATTACTATGTCACTACTATTTATTATATATTAATATTAATTAGATACTAAATATAAGAGATATCAACTGCTTAAATTTATAAAGTATATCAGATTTCTAACTTGTTTTTTTTGACGTGTCTGATCCACATGAACCTTTTATACAATAACTTTATATTTAAATTTTCTTTTGCACTATTGTTTTCAGATGAAAAAAAATATTGGATATAATATTGGTATATTATAGGCTATATCAATAGTCAGATATATTGCAGATATATTATAGATATATATCAAATATATTGCAGGATAAAGTTGTAATTTTAAAATTGGACCTCCGTTTTTTATTTTAAAAAATGCTGTATTTGAAAAAACTAAATGTGGTTGTTATTTTGCTTATTGTACTAAATATTTTTGTCATATTTGCAACTGTTTCTAATTAAAAATGGTTGTTATATATATACACACACATATATACCGGTTGCTCACCACCATTAAAAATTGATAGTTCATTATTTATTTAATTAAAAAAATTAAGTAATTTCACATTTTCTCTTTTTTAGATTCAAGATCACGACTTTTTAGCTGGAGATTAGTGTATTAACCAATTGAACTAAGTTTAGGTTAGGATTGAATTTTTCCTTACAATAGCTTCAATTTTTTTTTGTTTTTTTTATGGCCATAGCCTCAAATTGGTTAATCCTTCAACCTCCATCAAAATAAAAGTTTGAAAACAAATAATATACGAACGTGACACATTAGTGCGCTTGATAGACATACTAAAAATCAGAGAAGTAGATAATCTAATAGCAAAAGATAAAATAAATTTTGACTTTTTTGGATTATGTTTACATAATCATGCCTTTTTTTAATACGACAAATAGGATCTGAAGATTTAAACACATGACCTCTTGGTCAAGGATATATATCATCTACAGCTAAGCGCTCAGATTAACAAATTCATGTCATTACTTATCTAAGTATCCTTTTTTAGGTATTAAGACACGACACTATATTATATTATCCATCATTGTTCAAAATAAATTTCATTAAACTATTTTTCAAAAAAATTAATAAATTTTAAGATATTATTGAAAATTCCAAACATAGGAATGACGACCGAATCAAAACAAAGTTTATAAATTTAGGAACGAGAATTATATTTTAAGGTAGAGATTATCAAATAATATTGCTGGCCGCCCAAAGATATTAAACGAACAAGTTTGGGATAAATAGCTGTTTATAATTAATTGCTAGATTAGTGTATGTTAACCCTATAAATTTGTTTAAAATCTTTTATAAGTAACCAGTGAGAGCAACACATACGATGCATGGACTTTATCATTTTATCATATATTATAACTAATTTTTTTCATTCAAATACAAATCTCTCCTCCAATTTCTCTAATTTTAACTCTCAATATTTACAAATTTCTCTCTCTCGATCCTTACCCCTCCAATTTTCTCTCTCTTTCTAAATATTATCTCTCCACCCTTACAAATTCTATATAAACTTAAATAAATAATAATTTGAGTAAGAAATTTGAATGGACGGAGAAAAAAAAGAATTTAAGAGTGAATGAAAAAGAATTAAGGACTAAGTTGCAATAAAATGGTGGTCAACTCCCGGAAAACTTTTCATTTAATTACAACATACATTTTCATATAGATATAGGTCAACTTAAGCTCCTCCGTAATAGATTTATGTAATAATTTCAGCATATTATAATCTTCAACTTGTAATGTGAAACGAATTAGAAACTGTTAAATTAATCAACTGTTTGGGCTTGATCAATTGTATGTGTCCTCCATATCTCTATCTCTCTCTCTCTGACTTTGGTTGAGTTGCTACTGTTTTTTGGCTTCTCTTTATCTTATTTTGTTCATTTAGGCAGTCAAGAGAGAGAGAGAGTTTGATTATGAAGTTATCAACGCGGAAACAGGCTGCAAACGAAGAAACCCACATGCCAAATGATTAAATTTTGTGACATATTTTGACCATTTCAAATCAATATAAAACACAAGTTCTTACGTGCAGCAGCGTGCTTGTTGTTTTTTTAGTATTCTGCAGGGGTTTTTTTCTCTCTCTCTCCCTCTCTAAGTCTACGAGTTGAAATTCTTCCGGTTGGGGTGGCAAGATGTGCAAACAAAGTTTGATATTGGTTAGGGAGAGAAATGATCTATGATATATAGATGAAAACAATTATTTATGTTGGTATATATGAGATTTTTTGAGTGAAATCAAAAGTAAAACTGCGAGGATCATGTCCAAATCAGACAATATTATATTATTATAGAGATACTTGACTAGACGAGAGTGCCTTATCATTTAAGGCTTCAAAATGAATTTGGCTTGAAAGGGTCAGCTGTCGGGACCAGACCCTGGAATTTTGATTATTATTGTTAAGATATACAATTCATATTTTTCTAATAGGCAAAGACTTTTGGAAGATGATTATTCGAGAGGAATGTATGACTTTTTTCAAGATTAATGTATAAAAGGACGACCTTCATCTTCCACTTTTGATCCTCAAATTATATCACAAGAAGAAATATGTCCTCTTCTCTGATCTTCAAGCTCGTCTTCCTCAGCCTCTTGTGCGGTCTGTTAGCTTCTAGCTTGGATTCTAACAACGATGACGGTCGAAAGGTAAAAACTAGTATTATTGAATTTAGACTGCTTGATTTTGTTGTCTTTAGAAGACAAAGAAGAAAATAGATCAGGCAATTGATTTTTCTTTTTTTTAGATAGGGAAATTGCCATTTGATTCATTGAAAATGAAATTAACATGTATTTTTGTTGTTGTGTAAAATCTTGCAGATTTACATCGTGTACTTGGGGAACAAGCCAGAGGATACAGCTTCCACTCCTTCGCATCACATGAGAATGTTGGAAGAAGTCGTTGGCAGGTTATATTATAAATTTTTTTCCTTATCTTTTCAATTTGAAATCCTTAATACAACAGGCATACTAATAAAAAATTTTGAATGGTTTTAGCACGTTCGCTCCCGAAGCTTTACTCCACAGCTACAAGCGAAGTTTCAACGGATTCGTGGTGAAGCTCACCGAAGAAGAAGCTCAAAAGATTGCTGGTACGTCACTTGTAATTCCAACAAAAGCCTCAAAGTTACAAACTTTTCCAAACTAATAAGTTGATAATTTTGGGTATGATCTGATCAGCCAAGGAGGGTGTGGTCTCTGTATTTCTGAATGGAAAGAAGCATCTTCACACCACAAGATCATGGGATTTCATGGGTTTTACAAAAAACGTTGCTCGTGTAAAGCAAGTTGAAAGCAACATCGTCGTCGGAGTATTGGACTCCGGGATCTGGCCGGAATCTCCAAGCTTTAGCGACCTTGGTTACGGTCCTCCTCCGGTCAAATGGAAGGGCACTTGCCAAACCTCCGCCAACTTCCATTGTAACAAGTAAGCCGAAATAAATATACTTGTCCCTAATCTTTTCAAGTTTCAATTTAGCATTAGATTTTTTTTCCTTAATTTTTAACCATCACTAAATGTCAAAATAAATGTTATATGAATTTAGACAGTAATATAGTTATTAGGTAAAGATTTTAGTAGGTTAATTTCTTTTTATTACATAACCAACCATTTCAAGTAAGTAAATTTTCATTGAGTGGATCATATTGAATGGATAAATTTTTTTTATTTTATGAGTGACATGTCTATTTTATCCAACTAAAAGATACAATATTTTTTTTAGAAAAATTGCAGTGTATGGCAAAAGAAAAAATGGATGTATTTCAAAATATGTCATCTGCTTTTTCTTAATTTTTAAATATAGTACAAATTTTATCAGTAGTGTATCAATTAAAAGTTTGTGAGAAACATACGTGCAAAAAAGGAGACCTAGATGAAAACACTCAAATTGAGAGAAATGGTAGATATATCGTAATTACAAAATAGACTTGATTTTGAGAACCAAGTAGATGCAAAGACAAAGACAACTCTCACCTTACCCGGTGGGATGTTGTAACCCTTCCTCGAAACCTTGGGAGCATTGGTATTGGTAATATTCTAGCATATCAGTAGTATATCAAATATTTATATCGATAATATATCAGCGTATATCACATACATATTGCACAAACACTTATATTAGTAGTTTATTATATGCATATCACATACATATGACAAGTATATCAAACACTCATATTGGTAGTATATCGAATGTAGATCACATACATATATCAGTAGTAAGATATATTACACATATATTACAGATATATTTCCGATGTATATCATTTGAATAAAGTTGTCATTTTAAAATTGGACCCCAAGTTTTTTTAGTACTCTATTTGAAAAAACTAGAGAGATGTGGTTACTATTTTGCTAATTTTACTAAATATTTTTTCCATATTTGCAACTGCACCTATTTTTTAACTCTAACGTGTGTAATTTGACATTACATTGTCAAGTTATAAGTTTTAACATTTTGTGAAATAGAAACTTAGTTGAAAACAAATTGATCAATGTATAGCCATAAAATTGAAACTAACAATGAAATTGAAAGACCAACGCATAGAATAATAAGCTCAATAATCCAATATTGCCAATGCTCCAAACTTCTGTTAGAAAAATCATCGGAGCTCGAGCATACCGCAGCAACAACTTCTTTCCTCCCGAAGACATTAGAAGTCCAAGAGATTCAGACGGCCATGGCACACACACAGCATCAACGGTGGCCGGCGGTCTCGTGAACCAGGCGAGTCTCTACGGTCTCGCACTCGGCACGGCGAGAGGAGGGGTTCCCTCTGCGCGCATTGCTGTGTACAAGATATGTTGGTCCGATGGGTGCTACGACGCCGATATTCTAGCAGCATTCGACGATGCGATCGCCGACGGTGTCGATATCATATCTCTTTCCGTTGGCGGGAGCGAACCCAAGTATTACTTCAATGATTCCATTGCCATTGGAGCTTTCCACTCCATGAAACATGGAATATTGACCTCCAACTCTGCTGGGAATGACGGTCCCGACTACTTCACCATTAGAAACTTCTCTCCATGGTCTCTTTCTGTTGCTGCAAGCAGCATTGACAGAAAGTTTGTGACAAAAGTGCAGCTTGGCAACAAGAATCTCTATCAGGTCAGACATTTATCTCCTTAATTATGTCATTTTGAAACTATATAGCTAAATAACATCCTCATGAAGCATGCAAGATCTCAACTTTTCCTTAGATTTGATGAACAAAACAATTGTTAGAAGTTAGAACAAACTGCTTTGTGTTTGAGTCTTAATATTGGTCTCATATTTACATTAATGGAGATTTTTGTTCTCGTTAATCGATTAAATTACAAGTTTTTTATCCTAATAACTATATTAATATTCATGGAATTTCATCTCAAAACCAGYCTAAATATATTATAAACTTTTGTTAAGTCTCACTTATATTTTCAATACGGGATGTATCAACGTCATGCTAAAATTTTGATCGAAATATATTAGATAAAAATAAAATAATTGAATGGACAAAAATRGTAACTTTTTAAAACTTTTAACAACCAAAATGAATCCTTCAAAAGTTTACAAAGACTTAAATAAACAAAAATTTAAAGTATAYATATGGACCAAAACGCATGTTCTAAAAAAACAAAAATCAAAATCGGGCCAAAGTAGAAAGTAGATGTACCAAAAACATACTGAAAGAGCATAATTGTAATGTACTAATAACTTTGCAATTCTCTCTATATATTTTAATGATCACATAAACATGATTGTATTGCATAATAATATTAGTTTTTGAATTGATGTTGGGCACAGGGATATACAATTAACACATTTGATCTTCTGGGAAAACAATACCCTCTAATTTATGGAGGAGATGCACCCAATATCACTGGAGGCTTCACTAGCTCCAGCTCCAGGTAACAGAAAAAGGACCAAATTTATCATTATTAAAAACTCCAATTATGGGAACAAGTTTAAGAATTTTACTATTTTTTTTTAAATTTACTAACATTATATATTGAAAACAGATTTTGCTCAAAAAATACAGTGGATCGCAACTTGGTGAAGGGGAAAATCCTTGTTTGCGACACTGTATTGTCACCTTCAGCATTTGCTTCCTTTGRTGGCGCAGTGGGCGTCGTTATGCAAGACGCCGGCGTCAAGGATAACGCCAGGTCCTATCCCTTGCCGGCTTCTTATCTCGGCACGGCGGCCGGCGGCAGCATCAAAAACTACATGGCTTCAAACCGGTACTTTTTCTCGAACACTCTCTAAATGTCAACTAGGGTTCAGGTTCTAAATATCAATGGAAATATTGATACGAATGAYTGATCTATTTTCTAAAAGTATTAGTGAAATATGAAACATCCGACTAAATATATGTTTTAGTTTTTAGGATTTTGTTAAATTTGATCTTTTATATGTTTTAATATATTTTATTATTATATAATCTCTATCAGAGAATGTTAAAATTGACGAATTATAAATTTACATGTCAYGATACACGATGTTTAGTGAGTCTTTAAAATTTTTTGAAAAAATGAAATTAGGTTAACCYGAAGAGAAGTGAAATTTTTTGTCAATTTCATAGAAATAATGTGAAGGAGAAATTAATTGTCAATTGGTTAGGTATCATATAATGTAATCTTAATTATAATCAATCAATTTTAATGGTCACTAACATTGTCATGCTCATCATTAAATAATGTTTGACAACTCAGATAGATAAATGTAAAAATATAGATTCCTTTTAGAAAATAATGAGATGTCAAATATTTAGTAGTGGGTATTCAATTCATGAAAAAGACAATCAAAACACCTCTTCATCATAAATGATCTGTTTGTCCCACAATGACTTTGCCCAATAGRAAAATCCCAATTCATTGGGTCTTTTGATACAATCAAATAGAACCCAAATTATTGTTATTGAATAAATCTTCCTCTATCTGTTGCGGGTCCAGGACTCCTTCTCCATTCCCTTCTTCAAACTCCAATTCGTATTATTCACAGAAAAATCTCTAATCAACGATAGAACAAAATCCATTTTGTATCATATCCAAAGATTCCTGAGTTCGGACAGAAGAAGAAATGCCACTCSATCATTATCAAATCGACTGCAATCTTTTTCTACCTGTGAGGATCCCACAATGTTAAAGATTAAAATAGCTATGAGAACATATASTTAGGTTTAAGGGCCTATCTCTATATCCTCACATCTACGTCTTGATTTGGAATATATGTCTTACTCGATCTTAACCGGTRAAACTAAATGATGTTTGATGGATATATTTTTGGATGTACAGAGCTGCGACAGCCACCATTTTGAAGAGCAACGCAGTGAACGACACATCTGCTCCTTTAGTAGTTTCCTTCTCCTCCAGAGGACCAAATCCTGAAACCTTCGACATTCTCAAGGTTACCATATTTAATTTCTCTTCTGGTTTGCTGCGGCTTCTATTATTCATGAAATATTTTCCATACTGATTTAATGTAATTTCATACAGCCGGATTTGACTGCGCCGGGAGTTGAAATTCTGGCCGCATGGTCTCCCATTGCGCCCATCAGCGGAATCACAGACTCGAGGAAGTCCCTCTATAACATAATCTCCGGCACATCCATGTCTTGCCCACATGCCACCGCGGTCGCTGTCTACGTCAAAACATTCCACCCCACCTGGTCTCCCGCCGCCATTAAATCAGCTCTCATGACAACAGGTACATTTTCATCCCAACAATGTTTAGATGTTTATCTATGATCAGCACCCTTGCTTAAAAATTTCACAGCTCTTTATTTTTCTAAAAAATAGAAATCAAATGTTTTTTCTTTCTCTTATTTGTCAAAAATTCTATAACTTGTGAGCAAGAAAGAAATAGATACTAATCAGTAAACATACAGCAAAATAATTTTATGGTCGAATATAGAATTTAGTCTCTATACTTTAGCTTTCACCCTMGTGAATTTGAAAGTAGTAATTTTTATAAGGTTGTAATTATTAGTACTCCCATATTTAACGAAAAAATCTCACTCACTGGCATATAATTTATATGTATTTTTGAAAATGTCACAATTTTTTTTAAGTATAGCATAATTTTGATTTTTTCTTAGTATACTTTACGTCACATCTAAATTAGACTTTCATTGAGTTGTATTATTTTTGTAAATTTTTTACCATTATGTTTTATTTAAAAATACATATTTATTTTATGATATTTACAATAATTATCTCAGGTTGATTTTAAATTTATATTAAAGTAAGTAATTACATGCTAAATCCTTTAAATAAACTAGTAAGTTTTTTTTTTCTTCCTTTTATATGGATTGTTGAGATATTTCTAATTAAATTTACCCGATTTAGATTTAAATTTTTGGATTGAGTGATAGTTTATTAATGTTTAGTAAGATAATATCAGGGTGGAAGTTAAGTCATGTGTTCAAATTTATGTGTTATTGTTTCCTCCTCATTTATAATATTTTTAATTAAATGCATAGAATTCAAATTTTTTAGTTGAGGATAGTTATTTATCTTTACGAGTAATAATTCTATTTTACTGAATTAAAACATAGAGAACCCAATATTTTGAGATTACATTATCATTTCATGGATTCCTTCAGCCAATTTTCCCCTTTTTAAACTCACTTGTTTGGTTTCTTTTGCAGCCACTCCCYTGAATCCCAAACTCAACCCACAAGCAGAGTTCGCATATGGAGCAGGCCACGTGAACCCTCTCAAGGCAGTAAATCCAGGGCTGGTCTACGACGCACATGAGAGCGACTACGTTAAGTTCTTGTGCGGCCAAGGCTACACCACGGCCATGGTCCAGCGCCTCACCGCCGACGCCAGCGCCTGCACGCCCGCCAACACCGCCCGCGTCTGGGACCTCAACTACCCTTCCTTTGCTCTTTCCTCCACCCCCTCAGAATCCATCAACCAATTCTTCACAAGAACTCTCACCAACGTTGGCTCAAAAGCATCCACATATAAAGCTGCAGTTTACGGCGCCCCACCGGGCCTCACAATCTCGGTGAGCCCTCCGGTTCTGTCGTTTCACGCCATTGGAGAGAAGAAATCCTTCAAACTAACAATTCGAGGTACTTTGAGCCACTCCATTGTGTCCGCTTCTCTGGTGTGGAACGACGGGTTGCATCAAGTGAGAAGTCCTATCACTGTTTATGTCGTCAATAAAGGTTGATTGATGATTGAGCTTGGTTTGTGTTTGTTAATTTTTTGAACTTGAAAATTCCAGTTCTTTCACTGTAACTTCGCTTACTACCCTGCAAAATGTGTACTATTAATTGTTTTTCTGTTTTGTATTGTTGTGCACTAAGTAGTACATTATGATCTAATGTTTATATAATGATAATATTCTCTGTTGCTCTTAATTCTTCAAACAATTCCAAAATTTCTGTAATATTATGGAATATCCTATTTGATAAAATAGTGATGTGCCAAGATCATCTACTTGCCTTGCACTCAAGATCAAGATAAAGATGCTGTCAATTTCAGAGATCCAGACAATTTTGTAAAATTTACCTATTTGGCTTATTTGAGAAATCCAATCCATTAATTGRAGACATCAATACCCAACCTATTGGACAATTGATGTGTCCAACGGCTACCTCCTATAATCACTAATTCCATTAAGTTGAAATTATTGACAACGGGAGTTATTTTCTGCTTTGAATGAACCAACAGACCGTTGGTTCATTTTGTTTTTTCATTTTTCATTTATTGGTTTATTATTTTCTCATTCTTGTAGTTGCCATTTTTGGTTTTCTTTTGTGCACCAGTTTTCAATTTTTGCTTTATATGTAAATAGGTTGTACTTTGTATGATTCAAGGAAATGAGAATTATCTAAAGTGTATCTTGCCTTGAATTTGTTTAGTATTGACTTTCTTTAGATTGTTATAGAGTGAATAAATAATATTTTTGTTATTATTTCATAGAGTGAATAAACATTTCCAAAATTTATGTAAATAGTATACACTACAAGAAATTTGAGATTCGGCGACCAAATCTTCGGCGACCAAATCAAATTTAGTCGCCGAAAGTATCTTTCGGCGACCAAACGAACTTTCGTCGTCGAAGGTCTGGCTTCCGG